TTAATTGTTACTGTTATTACCAGCCTGAGCCAGGAAGCGCAGTTTTAGACGAGTTGCATCATATCATAACATTGAAATGATCAGTTACGAAGCAATATTTGTTTCCAAATGTTTCATAAATGCTCAAAATATGTATATGCTTCATAGCTAGTTTTATGTCTCCAATATCAATTCTAGCACGTTTACTGCAGTGCGGCTAACTACATAACTGTTGACATGACCTGCGTTAAAAAGCATGACAATGCATAGCATGCTACATATGGCCGCCACCCATTGATGATAACCATTATTCAATGTCAAAGCTACATAGCTGCCCTCTAGCTGCTCAAGGTTACCCCAACTGCGCGCATTCCCGCGTGATTGCGCGCCATGGCAGCTCGCCAGTATCGGTCTTTTTTTTGGGGGGTTAGGCCCTTTCGGTCGACAAGACCATTGCAGAGCCGGAAGGAAGATAGGAAATAGGGGGAGACATTGGTCTGGGCAGGCACCCTAGTGAGTCGCCGGGGCTGAGCCCGTCCAGAGGACAGGCCACCCAGCCCCAAGGCACTCACTGCACCCGGCTACGGGGTGCGCTCCCTCGGGAGCAGCGGTGCCGCTCCAAGGGAGCAGCCCGCATGAGATAAAGTTGCCTGTCCAACCCGGAGGGGGGTTGTGGCGTGGAGGAGAAGGATTTCAGTATCCTGAGGATAGAAGCACGGATAGGTGAGTATCGGTCTGCCGCCGGCCCGCTCCTGGCCATTACCCGCGCCACACTCCGTATCACGTACCAGTACCTCCGGCGCGACGCGGTCCGTTTGTTTTCGTCCAGTGACCGGGCGACCTGCCGATCCCGTCCACACTCGGTCCGCCGGCGCTGGTCGATGGCGGCGCTCTGAGCGTCCGCCGGCGCGCTCACCCACTCAGCACCGGGGCACCACTGGCGCTCAGTGGACCGGTCAGTGGACAGCCGGCCCCGAGGGCAGACCCCTGGCGACCTCTGCAGCCGACGGGGCCGGCAGGGGGCGCCGGCGCACCACTCAGCCGACCGCGTCGACTCAAGGGCTAAACCGCCGCGGGTGAACGATTATACAACCTGCCGTCCGTACCGCCTGAGGGCTGCAGTGAACAGCATGGTGGGCCTCTGCGAGGGAATGCCTTTGACTCCTATTTCGGGCGGTTCGGCACACACGTAGCGCTAGAATCGTTTCCCTCTAATCCGAGCGTCTCAGGCAGTCGATGGGACGTTCCTGCGTTGCGTGACCTCACGTCATGTGCGGCGCTCGGCCTCCGTCTGGGGCGCCGCTCATTGCCATTACGGCGATGGCAGTCAGACACAAAATCTACCGAGACATGCGCCATCAACCAAAAAGAAATAAAGCAAATAAGCAAGTATATATAGACGTAAAACTAAGAAAGCACCAGCAGACAGACATTCAAAATGGCTCAACATACATCCTATGAATAAATTCGGACGAGCCAAGCCAACAAATACCAGTCTTAACGAATAACGATCGATACGCAAGAGCCGCAAGAACCAATACCCTGATTGTATTTTTCGTAAATGCTCATTTCGCCTTGTGGGACATGACTGGATGGTAGGCAAACAATAATTAGAAAAGCCTTTTTTAAACATTAACTGGAAATGTTCGTACGTCTTTATTTGCCGTCTATCGCAGTAAAAGGGTCCGAATTCATCACACCGCGTCAACATTACTGCTTCCAACGATCGCCACCTTTGTTGACCTCAGTATTAGAGGTGTCGCCCAGTGCCGACCATTCGGCGCCATCAATTACCAACTCCAAACAGCCGGACCGTTTACAATGGGGCCGAGCCGCTGCACAGTGCGTGAGGCGCGTCCGTTAGCAGCGCATCAGTTCACGCTGAATATCGACCCTCTTCGGCGACATCGCCCGCTGCCGCCGCGGCCGGTTCGGCGTGCCCCACGCCTCCTACACCAACACACGAACGGAACCGGTGCGGGCGGCCAACTTTCCACACTTCGCCGTGCACCCTCCCGACAACCACCGCAGCGGGGGCGGGTCAGCGACCCGGCTGAATCAACACCCCACTAACCTTAAAACCAGCCGATACATACAGCAGCTGGAGCCCCCGTCGACCGGTAGTGGCGACACTGAATAAATGATGGACGACGTAACAATATAAACTACACACGGAACAGTGCTAGATTTTATCATATTCCTGGTTTTAAAGAAATACTAAATTACCAACCTATTTACTGGGGATGTGAGAACAATAAAAATACCAAATCATTGGCTGAAGCCAACGAGAAGCTTCCACTGAAGCAAACCAACCCGTGCCGCAATCCAGCCTCCCGCGGTTCCATTACGGAGCCACACTGTGGGATACTGTGCCGCAATACAGCGCCGGTCGGCGGCGCAGTCTACCCAGTCAGGCGCTCCGGCTGGTGGACGGCGGTGTCTGTCGAACGGCCGGCAGGCGGGCCAGCGAACATACCCTGGTCCAGCGAATACACTCCGACCCAGCGGGTGTTTTCGTGAGCCGGCCGGCAGTCCTGCCGGACTTCAGAAATCCTCGACAGGTCCTCGGGGGCGGCCGTCGCACGCACAGGTCGTATGGATTTCGGATAGCCGGCCGGCCCGAAGGAGCAGTCCCGGTCACGTGGTGTTTGGCCGCGGGAATTACAGTCGGTCACGTGATGTCACTCTGGAGTGAGTGCTCCGGTGAGCCCGCGGCGCCACGAAATGGCTTTAATTTCAGAGTAGATTGGATGTTGTGCCCGTCCACAGCACGCGATAGGGTACTGGGACATACCGACTATCGTGACAGAGACGAGCTGTCGATTAAGTGGCCACCAATCATGGTGATGACCTTTGGTGCTCACCGGCCAGCAATAGCTGACGGAGTGCACGGGTGTTATTCACGACCGAGGAGCGCGACTAAACCACTAACCACTGAACGTAAACCAATAGCGTAGTACCAAAAAAGTTCACTATGCGACGATTGCAGAACTACGAACGAATCCAGACGGACGTAAAAAGGGTACGTAAATATCAGCATTCAATGTAAAAAATAAGTATCCACATATCAGGAATACAAATAGGTACATGTTTCGGGCACAGCGGCCCGGCCGGTAACTCAGCAGTGTCTCGTCGGTCTCCAGCCACCACTCTCTATCCACTCTTCTCTATCCTTTGTCTCCGGTTCCGTTGCCACCGCACCTCCACTTGCCTCTATCTACGGCGGTCGAACCCACTGCCGACTCACCTCTGTTCGTGACGACCACGCTCAGCTCCGACCGACTCAACCTTCTATCCCCTGTCTCACCTGCCTCACCTCCGTCTCACCTCCCACTCACCTGGCCTGTCCGCGGCGACCGGCGCCGCCCCTTTCCTCCCTCTCCGGGTCAGATGGGGCCGGCCCAGCCCGGACCCGGAGCGCTCCCAACCACAGGGGGTCCCGGACCGACCGACCGACTCCACCGCCGCCGCCGCCGCCGCCGTGCTTACCGTGACGTCACTCCCAGGCGGCGTGTATCGGGCGTGTATCGTCATGGCTACCCGACGGCCAACACCGCCGGCGGCGACTCATAAGGCCCAATTAGGACGGCCGCCGACCCGCCGACACAGATGTTATTGGCCGGCCGGCCGACCCCTGCTCCGGATGTCAATATACTTACGAGAGGGAGGAGTCATCTAAGGTGTGGGAATGAAGAGCCTTCTCGGATGGTTTGTTAAAATCCAAGTCGTTGTGTGGACTGTGAAAGTCATGAGTTCACAAAAATCATTCGGACATGACTGAGCTAGCCTTGCAAATATCTTGAGGAAAAACAACTGCGACAAATACTTATATTATGTCACTGGGCTCCAATTTAGTATCTCTCGTAACATTTGAAGCCGAAACTGGATTTATCATTCATTTCACGACCCGGCGCAACAGGTTTCGCGCGCAGTGAAAGGAGAATACCAGCGAACAACATGGGGTAGCCGCAATCAGCACCGTGAACGGCCAAAGCAGCTTGTTCCGTGAACCCAGTGCAACGGTGTCGGTCCACGGGTCCGGGAACAAGCGAAAGGAGCTAAGGTGTTACGAAGGCGAGTGTTACGAACTGGTCCAAACGAAATACACCGACGACTACGGACGCCCTTCCCGGAACCCGGCCCGGTGGTGTGAGGAGTGGTACACACGTCGGTAGCGGACTGATGTGTTCGCGGTACAGTGGAGCAGCGGTGGAAATGTGGACCAGCACACTACCACAGCTCGGTGGAACGGTGGACAGTGGACTGACTGGCCCGAGGCCGTGCTACCGTGCCTCAGTGGCATTGGCGGGGTGGGTGGGGTGGGGTAGGGTGGTGGTAGGGTGATAAGGCATATAGGCACCAGGCAGTGATTGCAGCACGCCATCCACAGAACACCTGCAGCGAGACGTCCGACTTGACCAAACTCGCACTTTAAAAGGAGCAGTTCAGCAAATTATGTCGTGACCGCACGCACACCAAAAATCAACCAATGCAATTTGGCAATCGGATAGCAATTTATGGCGAACTAACACTAAACTCCGACAGTGGATCGATTATTGAAAGCTCCCCAGTAGCAGCTGCCAAGGTCTGGGGCCAATGGCCGTTTCCGGGGTCCATAGCGGTCACCACCTGCTCCCCTGCTAACAGGTGCACGCCGAGACACGTGCCACATAATTAGGTCAGGCCATTCAGCTCCCGACACAGTTATACCGCGAACGAGCTGCATAAACTCGTGACACTCAGTGCTTGGGAAGTGGGAACTTACCGGTCTATCAGAATCGATGCTCTTTTATTAAACAAGGTTAAGCTGCGGAAAGGGAGGCGGAGCTATCTACATATCATGCCAAACTTCTACAAAACCGGTTTAATACAATGCATGATGGGATAGCCCTATCGCTGAGCGTGCATTACCGTTATACGGTCTAGGTGAGTCAAATTAAAGATAACCAATATAGTAAAGATTACAAATAAATAAAGATATCGAACTGCTCCAAACGGCTGAAACACGCGCTAAAACGATGTTTATGTCCAGAAGCATATATTAACAATCCGCTCTGATCACAATATGCATCATTACCCGTAAACAGTAACGACAATCGATAACGTGACTTAGAACACAGGTCTTTTTATAGAGGACTGTTTTGGCATTGTTTGCTGAGTCAATAAAACAAGCATAGTGTATCACACATCTCAGGAAATAATATCTATGCCGATAAGCAACAAATGATACATGCTGTATACTGTTAGGTTCCATTTATATAAACGAAAAATTCAAGTCTTTTATCGAAGTTCAAACAAAACTCAAGTCTTTTATCGAAGTTCAAACACGTGAAATCTAGCAAACGCGAGATATTCTGGCCTGTGAAGGAACTGGAGCATACTGGCACAGTGTAACCAACGCCCCTTTTTGACATAATTGAACGCAATATACGCATCGCCATATAGTAGCCATAATTTGACCACAGGTAGACATGGATCACAACCGTTCAAGCAAGTCTTTTGATCACAGGCACGCTTTATAAACATTTCGCAAGCCTCACAACCGCCTTAAACACGAGGTGAAGGAAGTCTTAAGACTAAATTTTGTTTGACGACCATTGACCACAAATCCATAAAACTAATATCGTAAATCAAACACCAATTAACCACATAATTCAATCACATTAGCATAATTATTTAAATTAACAAAATCATTAAAACAAATGCACCTGAATGCATATAATTATATGCATGCAAATATAATTTATATAGTAACTGACAAATACGGACGAGCAAACGACCAATTTTGGTGATGTGCAACGTAAACAAAAATAAATATAGCTCGATGTGATTAAGTAAAACAAGCGAAAAATAATGAAATTTACTGGATTGGAGGCAACTGATGCCTGTTCCATGGGAACAGCAAATTAAGACACTTCCCCTGACAAACTGGCGTCGATTTCCTGATCACACCCTGATTAAAACGTCCACCTGTACTGCGATTGCATCTGCTACCAACCACGTCCTGATCATCCAACGCGAAGGTAGCGCGGGAGTCGCGGCCCCCTCTGTCCGACCAGACGCCCGCGTGCCCGCCGGAGGGGTCGCGGACCAGAGCCGCCAACCCCGGCTCTGCGCAGGTGACTCCCGTCCTCCCAGTTCCGCGAACCACGCTCCTCAGCTCGAAGCACCCAGAGGCTCAGTCCGACCGTCTCACTGCTACTGCGCTCAGTACATCAGAGACCGGTCAGCAGAGACCCTCTCACTAAACCAGCTATTCTCGACCCACACTGGAGTGCTGCAGTCAGCCGGCGGCACGGACCCACCTACTGTTCCAGCTTGTAGTGGACCGGAGAACAGTCGCGCAGCCGCTGAGCCGCCTGCTCCGGGGTCAGGTCACGCTGCGCCTGCGCCAGCATCTCGTACCTGAGGGAGGGAGAGGTCAGGTCAGGTCACGCTGGTACGCAAACATCTCGTACCCTGAAGGAACAGAGCACACAGGTTAGGCCACACTGTGAAGTACACACCTTAAACACGGAAGAGAAAGGCTTATAGTCGGATGGAATTAGTTTCGTTGTGCATGACTCGGCAGCTTTCGTTTAATGTAGCCGCGAGCTATGGGACAGGCACGCTGCACTGTGCCTTTGTGACCATTGGACCCTCCAATCGATACTGTATGTCGCAACTTGGTCGGCAGGGTGGGGGGTGTGCAAACACATCGAACTCGTGAGTTCTCTTCACGCTCACTTTTGTGACTTAGTTAACGAAAGCCAGACATGAACTGTAACAGCAGCGCTCGCTGTTCGCACCTCCAGGAAAAATCGAGCCGTTCAGCAATATCTAATGGTAGGTCTCCTTCGGTAACCGAACTCGGGAACAGCGCATCAATGCATAATTGCACCGGTAGACACGTTCCTTTCACCGCTGTATAAAGGTTATCACCTCCAGCTTCCCGATGCCATGTCCGCCCCGAAACACAATGACGCCACTGGTGTGAAAGTGACGTCACCGGTACTCACCCGACCATGAACTTTTTCACGGCGGCCGATCGAAGAAGGGGCGGCAGGTAGATGCCGTGGAACACCCAGTGCTGGCAGTCCTCCGACATGGCCTCGCCAGTCGGCGCGCCTGTCGGGAGCGCGGAAACATACTGTGATATGACGTCAGCGGTGACAGCGACTATTATATAATGTCATTGGCGACGCTGACGTATTAATAAATTCATATGTGTTGCACCATTGATGGTGCATAATAACAATCTGTATCCCACTGATATAGCATAATGGTAACCTCCGCAAGAACGCTATATTTTGGTCCTCAATTGGAACTAAATACTTAGGCCGCCCAGCATGCCATCGGAATGGTCGCTTGCATAATTACTGGTCAACGTTGCATAGGTAATATTTACACCAGACCTCGAAACACTCGTCAATAATACCATATGATGATCCAATCCAATACCCTATAATTTGACCAGCACTGGGCTCCTCAGCGGTCCAAAAGCACCAGTCATAACCCACATCGACTCAGCACTCGGTAATATCCTCCTAAGTCCGGTCCCACCCAATATACGACATGGTGGCCGGTAAGGCCACCCAATGCCACCGCCTGAGACACGTCAGCAGCTTAGTATAACAACACCAGTTCCCGGGAATCTTCGACTCAATTAAACCGGCCGGCTAGACCCACTACCCTACGCGACTTAACTGGGGATGGGAAGGAGTATCGTATCGGCAGTACTGTGGTGACACTATCCCCGGGATCAGTCGACCCGGACTAAAGCCGCTTTCGGCCCAATGGCCACCCCACTGACGTCATCAAAACACGGTCGGTCGCCGGCCGACACGGCAACAGAGGATGAGCCGAGTGTCGGTAAGTATACGACGAGCCGTCGGAACAGGGTTTGATAGAGCGCGGCCGATCAAACAGGGGTAAAGGGGGGGGGGGGGCTAGCCCGTCTTCGAGCATTACATCGACTACTGAAATGATGCTGCTAAAATTACCCTAGAAATAAGCAGGCACATTGCCCGTCATTAAATTAAAATTTCAAATTAAATTTTGGTAGAATATCACTCGGTTTTACTCAATCGTTGACAAAAGTTACGCAGCTTATCGCTGAAAATGACGGGTTTGCGCTAAACACTACTCTGGGTCGTTAGTCGGTCCATCGATCAATGCGTGACATGTGCGTGCAATATTCAGGCGATCGATGTCAAACACAGCTCCCGTCACAGGCCGTTCCAGTTACCAAACTGTCGCGGTGCCATCCAACTATTCCCGGGTGCGTGTCCAATTTGGACCATAACAGAGCACCAACTGCTGAATAAAACGAGCGCTGATGACTCGCGCAGCGCGCGTGGATTCACTCCATGAGCTCCGTGCAGAGACTGGCCCCTGCTAACGCGCCCCAGTCACGCGCGGCTGGCCCACTCTCCCCTGTCCCCCGTCCCGTCACTGACCGTGCCAGCCCATCGAGTAGGGGAAGTTGCAGCGGAACAGGTTGTCGTAACGCGTGGTGACCTGGCGCACGATGTCTGCCAGCAGCCTCTGCTCGTCGGCCGTGAGGTCGGCCATACGCAGCACGTGCCGGCGGGGCAGCACCAGCAGCTCGAACGGCCAGACGGCCCAGTAGGGCACCAGCGCCACGAACGACGCGTTCTCGCACACCAGACGCTCCTGAACGGGGGGGGGGGGGGTTAATAACGGGTCACACAAGGGTCACACCGGGGACTAGTGGGGCGGGCACAGGGGAGCGGCACATAATGTAATGACACATATCTCAACAGCCACACAAAACACGTGAACGGCTATACACAGTGTAGCATGGTCATCAAAGTAATTTACTTATGGCAAATTGGACGATGTGGTACACCGTAAACAACGGAATATCAATTAAGCCACGCCGCCCAATACAATGATATCGACTCAATTACCATCGACCAACGCCCGCAAACGTGTATCACCGCTCAGAGCCCCGGCGCGGTAGCGGAGACTGGGTTAGGTCACGGGGGACAGGGGCTGTCACGGAGGCCGTCTGCCGTACCTTTTTCTGCAGCTCCTGGTCGAGATAGTCGCGCAGCAGCGGCCGGCCGTGTTTGGCCAGGTACTGCCGCTGGTAGTGGTCCTTCACACGCGGCTCGTTCGGCAGGAAGGACGACGCCCAGATCTGGCAGTGCGGATGCGGGTTGCTGCACCCCATGATGGCGCCCTTGTTCTCAAACACCTGCACCCAGCGGTACTTGAGGCCCAGCTCTATCGACTCGGCGATCCACCTGAATAACGGGCAAAAAAAAAAAAAAAATCAAAATTATGAGCACTAGGTAGTTCAAACGCAAATAAGATATTAAATTAGAGACAAAATATGATAAAGACAGATGGAAACATGAGCGAGGAAAATATATCGGGATAATACGTTCGTTACCGGAATGCACCACTACAAAACGTATCACAAGCATAATGTTGATCCGTCGTCAAAGACGGGTTCGCCGTTCATTTCAATGACCGACCTTTCGACGACCTTGGTGACCTCATCCAAGGTCATGAGCGGCAGCGTGATATCCGATCTTGGGTGGAAGCACATGACCCGGCAGGTGCCCAGAGCCGGGGCACTCTGAAAACGGGGAACGTCGGTCACTGGGTGCACTGAAAGCGAGAAAACGCGGCACTGAAAGTACTGAAATCCCGAACAGGCGAAACAATACGATGAAGACTACAACCGTAATAAACAACGGAAAGATGCGTCAGTCGCTTAAAAATACATAATAAAATCTGTAGGCTACCCGTTAGCAGAAAGCTCAAGAGATAGGCTATCTCATTCCCGACACTATCAAAAAGCGGAAATCTCAAACAGAGTGTCTCGGACCTGGAAGAGCGGGTTGTCGGATTTGGGCACGGGCGGCGCCTCCTCCAGCAGCGCCGGAAAGTCGTTGGTAAACACGTACGTCGACTCATAGTTGGGGTTCACCTGTAAGTGACAGATCACCGGGTCAGGTTTACATTCACTACGGCGACAGCGGGGCGGGTGCTGCTTCGGTCGCTAGTCAGCCGTGAGCGCAATTTTCCGTTAATAATAACACAATTTGCCACAATCTGCCGAACTTCAGCATACCATTCGTTTTCTTGCACGGATAGAATAGAAGCATAATCTTGGTATAGAAGGACGTATTATTCAATAAAATTAAACGGCCTCTTCCGAGAGTACATTTATCGGTATTCAGTACGTTACGGTGCAATGGCCGGCCCTTTTTACTCCGCCGAATCTGAGCCCCAAGTGGCGTCTCGGGTGAGCGGTATCTGGCGGACACTCGACAGCCGCCGGCACGTGACAACACGAGAGCGGTGGCATCAGCCCTCTGGGCCGCGATAAGGACCCACCATGGTAACGGGCAACCGGCGGCGGTGGGGCGGAGCGGCCTTCATCGCATACGGCGGACGACTTTTCACCGCTTGTAACACCGAGTGCGGAAGTAAACAACACTTCTTCTGTACCATCGGAAAACCTTTTCACGGTATTAACTCCGCTACTAAAAGAACACTGATGGCTGTATTTTTTTCCCTCGCGGAGCTCTGTGTAAGGAAAATACGCCTGGGGCGACTCTATGCCACACACTACGTGGTGCGTAATACGATACTGCGTGAGCAAAGTTCGCGGAATTAACACACTGCGTAAGGAAACACAACACAGTGCAATCAAAGCACGCCACCCGTATAGCATAACACAGATGATACATAATACATATCAAAATGAAATGTATCACACATAAACAAACTTATCAGTTATCACCATCAGTACCTGCAAGCTTACCCCTCTCAATCCCCCACCAACATTAATGGGATGCAGTAAGGGTGTGTACACAGACTCAGTCTAGTTCCTCACTTCTTCCAACACTTCTTCTGTATGACAGATGCCAAAAACGTTATCAGCCTGACTGTATTAGCCCCCACAGGACCTCAGTTTATCCCATTGGTTCGTTCGTTAATGATGGGGTATCAGAATCCTGGTGCTGAAAAAAATTACTCCTCAGGCACCAAATATGTAGCTCATTATGGAGATGGATTGTATTTGGTGAGGGAGCAGCACACAGCTGAAGTAAGTGAGAAGCAGACAGAATGTGTGCAGCTAGTTAAGAAACATGAATGTTTTTCCTTGAAAGGATATTCATTAGATTGTTACCTTGCCATTGGGGCGAGTGTTGCCAGGACAGAGTGGGTTGTTGGGATCATGAGGCGGCACCTCCTCCTCAGCAGGTTTCTCCACCTGACCACTCCAGGGGCGTTTGCAGCGGTGCGGAGAAACAAGCACCCATTCAGCTTTCAGGGGGTTGTAACGGATGTGCTGGTGCTCTGTCAATAGATATAACAGCGCTCTGGTCAGGGTGGCATGGCAAGGTTAACAATCATATATGTTAGCCAAACATCTTCAAATAATTGTTTGTTTGTTTATTGGGGCTTTAGGGCGCGCCGACTGCGAAAAACATCTTCAAATAACAAAGCACAAGATAACAAAGCACAAAAAAGTTCTTACTAGATAATAATCCTAGGTAGGTCGGTATAAGGTAGGTACCTTTTTATTGCTCCAAAAGACTATTTTAATTGCTTCATTAGACCTCAAAATAAAATATTTTAAGCTGCAGTCTCCACTCACCATCAGGCTGAAAAACCTGTTGGGTTGTAGCCTGATCCATTCCAATAATGTTTGGTTGCAGTATATCTGAAATTAGCAAATAATAAGCTTAGTCATGGTCAATCCCACAAAAAGGACAGAACCAAGGTTGTGGTAACTAGGTTAAAAACACTGACAGATCCTAGGTAAAATTGGCAGGCACATGAGTGGGAGGCTATTGATATCAATATTAGGTAAAACATAGAGGCAATTTCTTTCACCTTTGTTGATATCTGGCGTGTCGCACCTATCGTCAGGCCGACGGACTGCACACACCTAAGCTGAAGCGAAAAATCTCCTACAACTTTACCTTTAGTATTTATTCCCTTGGGCCGTGTTTGCTTATTTTGTAGAACTATACTGATACGCGCATTTCCATTATAGAGATCAGTAATTTTTTTTTTACTTCGCACCAAAACTCGTAACAGATGCGCAAGTGTTGTATCATTAGAAATCAGCTGAAACAGTTCTTGAAGGTTTTTAGCTGCCAGATTGAACAATTTTTACCAGCGAAAACATCATATTTTTTCTGCTTGCTGCTTCCTATGGCATTTTTGGGTGTAAGTATCGTTTTTCAATATGAGTTTTTACTTTATCTTTTAAATTGAATTACCTACATGCAAATTATATTTTTCAAATAGGGGAAATAAAAAGTGAGATTTTTATAGAGTTATTTTCATACTATCCCTTCATCAAATCCCTTCACAAATAAAGCGCGCGGAATTTATCAAAAGACTGATGATGCTCCGAGCGCCTTGCTCCGAGCGCTCCCAGTCGTGTATTTTGCGTTTTGGGATGAAACTGAAACAGCGCGAATAAAGTGAGAAAATGTAGATTTATCGTTTAGTTTTGTTGTGTCCAAGATTTTTCCGCTGACTTGCAAAGTGAACATTTTGAAGTCATTTGTAGGCTGAAATAGAAAGTCTCTCTGACTCAAGCTTGACGTAAACTCTAAGGAGGCTCTGCAGCTACAGTGAAAAAGCAAACCAGAGAAGGAATTGATACATGCCATACTTGCTGGCTTGATCTATTTTTTACGCTTGGTATTATTTTAAATTTACCACTTTTGTACTTAAACAGACTAGTGAGGGTACTTACCAATGAGTTAGTACGAGGTACGAGGTACAGAGTGTCAAAAAGATGCTAAGTTCAAGAACAGTAAGAACTATTGACTTTCTCAATGGTTTAAAATGAAGTTTGTCAGGGATGAAGAAGTCCATAAATGCTCAAGGGCTGATGATGTTGATAGTTAACTTGATGGTGACAAGTCACAGCACAGAGCATTATTGCTGTTGCTCATAATGGATCCACTTTTCAGCCTTTTCTTTGTTCAGTCCAGCGGCATTAAATGCAATTGAATTATCTTGCTTAGTGTGCCTTTCTGAGGCCAATTGCTAGTTGATGTTGGCCACTTCATTTTTCAATTTAAGTCCACATCACACATGCATTGTTTTGCTTATTTACCAAGAAATCCACATGAACAGATCACTAGATGCATGCATGTTCTTTGAACTTCTCATTAAATGCTATGGGTGAATTGGCAATGGAGTGGTCAGATTAATCATAACCCTGACTCATGCATTTAAATAAGATATAATTGTTTAAGTAGATTAAGGTGAGTAAAACCATAGTGGTTGCCTGCTAGTCTTTGAAAATTAATTTACACCTCACCATTATTGTTTTCAGGGGCACAGATTGCTGCTGCAATGGCTGCAGCTGTGGTGGAGTCCTCTATTCAGGAGAGCATTGCCAACACTCCAGCAGCACATATGGCAGCCAGTCAGTCTGAGCCAGAACAGCTCAATGCTTCTGGAACTGTTGCAGCCCAGAGCACTGTTGAGAGCCAGTCTGCTGAGAAATCATCGCAGGAATGTAGTCAGGCAGCTGCAGCTGACGCACCCAGTAAGGACCATGTGAGCGCTGAGTCACAGGAGCCTGCTGCTGCCAGTGACGATGACACACAGCCAGAGAGCAGCCCTCAGCAGCAGGCTGACGGAGGACGGGCCTCGGACTCTGACAGTGACGAGGAGCCAGTGCGCCGGCCGCGCGCGCGCCGCCTGGCCGTGGACAGTGACGACGAGCCGTCCGACGCCGCACCGCCGCCGGCCGACCACGGAGACTCGGACGACGGGGCAGGGACGGCGAGGAAGGTGCCGGCGCGCGGCCGGGTCCGCCGGCCCGTCCTCGACTCCGAGGAGGAGGACGGACCCGGTTCGGGCAGAGACGGGGCAGCCGAGAAGGGGGCCGGGCCGCCGGCGGAGGGAGGGGCCGCGGCCGGGGACTCTGCGGACGAGGAGAGGGAGAGGAAGGAGAAGAACATGAGGCGGCTGATGGCGCTCGCCGACAGCTCGTCAGAGGACGAGAGGCCCCGGCCCGACACTCCGGCCTCGCCCACGGTAAGGACGGATATGACGACCTGCGTGCCTTGTATGTAACGTTTTTTTTTTAACGTAGTGGTTCATTTGGATATGAAAGTTTCATTTCTTTCGGTGTGTGTCATTTGCCATTTTTCATGGTTCATCCTTTTCCCAACAGCCAGCAATGGATGCTGATGAAGACCAAGCGGGAACAACCAAGTCTGGCAGAAAGAAAAAGCCACAGAAGAAGAAAGTTGAGAGGCGCAAAATCGAGCAGGTATGCAATTCTTGTGGCATTTTGTCTTGGATATTTTCTGACACTTTCGTTAAAAGTCAGCACAAATGTGGGTATTGTGCCAGTTTTCAGCATGCACTTACAACCAGGGATGCGGAGCCGTGGAAATTTCAGACGGCTCCGGCTCCGGCTCCGGCTCCGGAGAAAAAAATCGGCTCCGGCTCCGGCTCCGGCTCCGGATGAAATGTTATGGCGGCTCCGGCTCCGGCTCCGGCTCCGAGTAAAATGGTCCGGCTCCGGCGGCTCCGGCTCCGACTAAGTACATCCCCTACGCAATCAATTAAATACGGGTGGAAGAAAAATTGGATTGGTTATACGCGTTACTCTTTGCCATGACCGGCTCACCGCGTCCCCGCGCAAACGCACCTCGGAGAGAACTGGCAGAACAAAGGGCTAGGAAGCGATGGCATTGGAAACGCAGTCGCCGCGAATCGGAGTTCAGTGAACCATCGTAAGCTGACACCCGTCTCGGCTGCATTGGGGGGTGAGGGGTGGGGGGGGGGTGTGGGATGAGACGGTGCTGGGAGTCGCAGTCCACTGCACTGGTTTGAAAACAATGGCCGTCACCTGATGACTGGTCCTCATGTTCTGGGGATGCAGTAGACGTGGGGGGGGGGGGGAAGAGCAAACAGGAAGTTGTTTGCGTACTGTGGGATACTGGGGATATTCGGATTTTTTCATTCACTTGATGGCCCATGACGTAAGTACCATATGTTTTACTGCCTTGTACTGTCAAACCGAACTAGGTCAATTATTTTTTTCCTCTTCAAAAAATAAAAAGGAGCCGGAGTCGCCCCCTTTTTTGGCGGCTCCGGCTCCGGCTCCGGCTCCGGGCTATATTGTTTCACGGCTCCGGCTCCGGCTCCGGCTCCGGGCAAAATATGCCGGCTCCGGCGGCTCCGGCTCCGACTCCGGCTCCGGCTCCGCATCCCTGCTTACAACCACAACCCTCGCATTCCCGCGTTGCCCAGGAGGCGGCCGAGCAGATGCGTCAGATCCGCAGCGCCGCCCAGCGGCGGACGCGCGAATCACGGCTGAACCTGCCCTACCACCGGCCGCGCCAGCGGACCCTGCACGAGTTCCTGGCGCGCCGACAGAAGGCGCCCGCGCTGCCCGACCACCCGAGACTGGCCGCCGATGAGGCCGACTATATCACGTGAGTCGCTTAGCTGCGAAAAATAGAGGGTGCTGAGATATGGTCAGCACTTGGAATGGGAGGTGGTGCCTGTTAGCGTGACATATTAGCATTGCAGGAGTAAAATGCGGAAGATATTCGTGTGAAGCCTAGGAATAGCTCATTGGCTTGTCCGGAGCCAGATTCGCAGTTCCCTCGCCAGCTGCGATATGATGACAGTCACACAGTTCGTTTTGCGTCGTCACATTTGCTCTACCATTTCGTCATGAAGTCACTTATTTATTTTTGTCCAGTGATTTTACGTTGTCTTCCATTTTTCCCTTTACTTTTTCTCCCACAGGAAGAAGCTGCAGGAGAAGGAGAAGGAGATCGAGGAGTTTTACAAGTCTGAGTCGGAGAAGGGGGACGACTCGGACCCGGAGTGGAAGCCGGACGGCGCCGCCGCCGCCGCGGACAGCTCGCAGCCGCCCGCCGCTCGCGCCGCTGCTCCTGCCCCCGCTGCTGCTGCCGCTCCCCCCGCTCCTGCTCCTGCTCCTGAGGCGCGGGAGGAGGAGGAGGAGGACCGCGTGCTGTCCCAGTCGTCGCAGAAGGTCCAGGAGTGGCTGGAGGGCGTGCAGCCGGCGGGAGAGGGCGCCCACACCCCGCCCATGTCGGACGAGACGCCGGAGACGCACACTGAGACCGAAAGAACGCCACTGGGCCCGGAGACGGAGCCGCGGGACACGGAGATGGAGACAGAGATCGGCACGGCTGCAGGGACGGAGAGCACTGCGGCAACGGGAGCAGCAGCGGACACCGGCCCTGCGGAGCCCGCCGCCGGGTCTGCCGGGGAGCGGAGAGAGCCCGAGCCGGAGCCTCCGGCGGAGGAGCGGCCGGCGGAGACGGAGGAGTCCCGCTCCGTGTCGGCGGACACGGAGACCACCAGCCTGGCGCCGGGCGACAGCGCCTCCGAGGTCAACGCCCGCGCTGCTGCCGCCGCCGCCACCACCGCTGATGTCCCTGCTACCTCTGCCACCCCTGCCGCTACTTCTGTCGCCGCTCCCTCTACGTCCGCCGGCGCGGGCTCGGCGGGCCGGCTGGCCCGTCTCGCGGCCCGCCTGCCACAGCTGGGCGCCGTGCTGGGCGCCACGCCGCGGCTCCAGCGGCGCGGAGAGGTCGTCTCACTGGACGACAGTGACGATGAGCGCGGCGCGCCCGAGCCCACCGAGCTGGATCGGTTCGTCGAGCGCTTCGTGCGCCACTCCAACGCCAAACCCAAAAAGGCCGAGAAGAAGACCGTCAACATCAGGTGAGTAGCGGCGGGAGGGATACCCGCGGCTCTGAGTGATAGTTACACAGCTTATGGGTGCAGCTTCATAATCATAGAGCTACATACATACATGTCTGAAACGACATTTACAATATTTTTACGGTTTTTTAATCGACACCCCATCCCTCACTCCTTCTGCGGCCTGGCACGGATCTGAAGTGACCCTCCCTCCTCCCAGCCTGGTGTGGTTCTGTAGTGACCCCCCCCCCCCCTCTCCCCGCAGTTTGGTGCGTTTCGAGAGTGACGCGGCGGGCGGCCAGCAGCTGGTGGCCGACTCTGTGCCGGTGACGGTGAGCTCCGGTGACCGGGCCGAGCCCTCTGACGGTCCGCCGGGCGCGCAGCGGCAGCAGCTGCGGCGCGCGCTGCGCGACACCATCCGCCGGCAGAGGGAGGAGGCGCGGCAGAGACGGGAGCGCCAGTACAAACTGTACA